TTGGAAAAAAATACTCCTAAATGCATTTATTCAATATGTAGGTGAAAATATGAAAAATGAAGAAATTAGGAGTTTTTGGACTCATTTAGGAGGATTTGGTGCAAAAAACTATGAAAGGCCAAAACTAGTGTGCTTACACTTTTATTGGCATTTATGGGATATTTTCCTATCCTTTTCTTCTATAATTTTCTTAGCTTAGTTGAACTTAATTGAACTTTATTTCAAACTTTAATTATCATATTATTCATTTGAAAATGTCCTTTTAAGCTCACTAGTGCTTTGTCACCTTATTAGTATTTTTGTATGTGCTAGAAAGATGATATGTGCATTAGTGTGGTTTGAGGCTATAATTGGAGCTAAGAAGTTTCTAGATTTTTCCAAAATTTTTCATGCATAAATTGACAACTAAATGGTATGTATTTGGTTGGAATTTGTAGGAGAATTTATTTAGAAGTTGGCACCAAAATTTGGAAGCAAGATTCAATCCAAACCATGTGATGCACTTGATGGATGATTAAGGCTTGTAGCACCACTTCTTAGATTTAAAGAAGGAACAAATGCAGCTATTTATTTGGCAATTTGAATAATTTTCATTGAACATAATTTTGACTTTTTGGAGCTTACAAGATCAAAGAAAGAAGGTTTAAAGTGAAGTAGAGCAAATAAAAAAACTAAGGGAGCTAGTTAGAAGACTCTAGAAGATGTGGCAGCTTAGCTGGCATTTTTTTGCATTTTCATTGGCTGAACCAACTCACCTTTGGCCAATAAATAGGAAAGTTGGCCAGCCCTTTAAGAGATTTTTAGAGAGTTTTCCAAAATTTTTTTATTTTTTACTTCTTTGCATTTACTTTTTTTTTCTCTCTAAACGGTTTCCTTTTTGTTTTTTTAGAGGGTTGTTTGAGAGACAATTGCTTAATTTTCCAGCAAAATTTACTTTTCTTGCCTTTGTTTTACATGCACTATCTAATTCTTTCAATAAAAGTTTAGTTCCTTAAGTTTTCTTGTTCAATTTCATGTATTCTCATTGATTGTTCAAATTTATTTGGTAGAATTTTCATATGAGGTAGTTAGCAATTTTCCATGAGATCTCCTTCAATTTTTGTGATTTTTTATCTAAATTTTTTCTTATGAACTCCCAATTCATATATCTACAAATCTGAAAAAATTCCATGTTCAAATGCTTTCTACAAAATTCTACAACAATCCAAAAATTTTCAATTTGGATCTAGCAACAAAGTTGAAGCTTGAATGAGTGGCAGCACGTCAAGGCTATCCTCTCCTAATTGGGTAATTGGTTTACTCTTTTCTCACTTTGCTCTTGTTAATTCATGTGTTCCTTTATTTTGATTCAATTCATTGCCTTTAATTCATGTTTTTCAATTCTATTTGAATGATTTTCTCTTAAGTGCTTTGTTTTTCTCTTTATAGTACTAAGTTTTTATTTAAGTTCATTACCTTGTTTTTGCTTTATTTCTTTCAATTTCTTTGTTGAATCTTGTATTAATCTTTTAGATCTAAGTTGCTTTAGCTTAATTTTAGTTCATTTGCTTTGTTAGAGTGTAGATCTAAATTTTCTCTCAATTCAATTTGTTTTTAGATTTTAAATTTCATTTTTAGTTTGTCTTTTTCTTATTGTTATTTCAATTTTTCTTCTTTAATTACCTTTCAATTGTGTTGTGATCTTTGTTTACTTACTGTTATGTCAATTTAGAAGTTGTTTGAATCAATTTTAGAAAGTTTTTAGATCACATTTCCTTTAGAAATTAATAGTTAGTTATTTTTGGTTACATACTAGTTAGTTTTTGTTACTACTTGTTAGTTACTTTTTGATTGTTAATTGAGCTTTTTAATTTCAGTATCTTAGATTAGAATCATATTCAAAGCATGTTAGATTCAATTCAAGTTGCTTTAGCTACTGTTTTGGTTAAGTTTTCTAGTTTATATGTTATAAATTTACTTTTTGTTAGAAACATATACTGCTTATGGTTTTATTCACTTGTTCTTGTTAGCTTAGCCTTGTATGCACCTTTGAATTGAGTCAACTTTAGAAAGAGTTTGGGGATAATAGGTATTTAGACTGAGTCTTCTTTAGCTGATACCTGTGGGATGATATCTTGACCTTTAGTCACTATTATTACTTGAATAATCTATGTGCTTGTAAAGAATATCATGAATCAATGAGATGATATCACCTCAATACATATTTAGATCTTTGATAAGACCTTGGTTCCTTGGCTTGAGAGATTGCTTCATTGTTGTCACTATAGATTATTATCGGATCAACAATGTTAGGTGTAACACTTAGTTTAATTATGAACTTCTTGATCCAAATAGCCACTTTTGTAGCCTAAAATGTAGATATGTATTTGGCTTTAATTGCACAACCTGTAATTGTACTCTATTTGAAAAATTTTCAACTCACTGCTCCACCATTTAAAGTAAAAATATAGCCACTTTGAGACTTATTATCATCCTTGTTGGATTAAAAGCTTGCATCACAATAGCTCTTAACTAGGAGTTCAGCTCTACCATAAATAAGAAACACATCCTTAGTTATTCTCAAGTACTTAAGGATTGTTTTCATGATCTTCCAGTGACATTCACCTAGATTTTCTTGATATCTACTTGTTATACTTAGAGCATATAAGATTTCAGGCCTTTTGCATAGCATTGCATATATAATAGATCCAATTGTCAAAACATATGGAATCTTATTCATGTCATCTTTCTCGATTTGTCTCTTAAGACACATGCACTTGGAAAGATTTATTCCATCGACATTGACAATAATCCTTTTTAGATTCATCCTTGCTAAACCTCTTTAGCACTTTGTCTATGTATTCATATTGTGAAAGACCAAGCAACCTTTTTGATCTATCTCTATATATCCTTATGCTTAGCATATATGTTGCTTCTCCCAAATCCTTTATGGAGAACTTCTTTGATAATGAAATCTTGGTAGATTGTAGTATGGGTATATTGCTTGCTATAAGTAATATGTTATCCACATATAACACTATAAAAATGATTGCATTCCTACTTGTCTTCTTATGTACACAAGGTTCATCTACATTTTTGATGAATCCAAATTCTTTAATTGCTTCATCAAAATGTATATTCCAACTATTTGATGCTTGCTTAAGTCCATAAATAGAGTTTTGAAGTTTACACACTATGACATCATTTTCCTTGGATTTAAAATCCTCAGGTTGTGTCATTTACACATTCTCTTACAAATTTCTGTTAAGGAATGCTATTTTGACATCCATTTGTTGTATCTTATAGTCATGGTAAACGATAATAGCAAGCAAAATCTTAATGGATTTTAAAATGGCTACTGGTGAAAAGGTTTCACCAAAATCAACTATTTGTTTTTTATTATAACTTTTTGCAACTAGTCTGGCTTTGTACATTTGTACATTGCCATTCATATCAATTTTCTTCTTCAAAACCCATTTGCACCATGTGGATTTTATCCCTTCGTGTGGTTTCACCAAAGTCCATACTTGGTTTACATACATGGATTTTATTTCGGGTTTCATGGCCTCATGCTATTTTTCAGAATCAATGTCCAACATTGCTTCTTAATAGGTAATAGGATCATTATTTATGATTAACACATCTTTGTTTATAAGAAATTTATATCTTTCAAGAGCTTGGTTAGTCTTATTTGATATATAGAGTTCTTGTATACTTTAAGCTTTTAGTTGTGTATCAATGCCTTAGCCATTGGCTTAAGTTTTATCCTTGAGTCAATTTATGTTTCTTGAACTTCTTCAAGTTCTACTTGACTCTTATTATTCGTTTTAAGGATAAACTCATTTTCCAAGAAGACAACATGTCTAGAAATAAACATACTTTGTTCCTCAATGTTGTAGAAATAATATCTAATAGTTTCCTTTGGATATTCCATAAATTTACACTTAATTGATCTAGGTTCAAGATTGTCAGCTTGTGCATACTTCACATAAGCATCACATTCCCAAATTTTTATGTATGGAAAAGCAATTTAGATAATGTCTCGTCAATGAATTTAGATGGAATTATATTAAGAAAATAAGTGATTGTTTCAAGTGCAAAACCTTAAAAAGATATAAGAAGATTTGAATTGCTTATCATAGATTAAACCATGTCCAATAAGGTTTTATTTCTCCTTTCAAAAATTTTATTGTGTTATGGTGTTTCAGGTGGAGTCTATTGTGATAGAATCCCATTCTCTTAACCTTGAAACTCATGACTTAAGTATTCACCATCTCGATTAGATCTAAGTGTCATGATATTTTTGCTAGTTTTCTTTTCAACCTCAATTTTAAATTCTTTAAACTTTTCCAAGGATTTAGAATTGTGTTTCATTAAAGACACGTAACCATATCTTGTATGATCATTAATGAATGTAATGAAATAGGAGTATCCTCTTCTAGCATTTGTGTTCATTGAATCACATACATCTGAATGTATTAGTCCAAGAACTACACAAGCTCTTTCTCCTTTTCCACTAAAAGGTGACTTGGTCATTTTTTCAACTAAATATGATTCATAAGTTCCATAAAATTCATAATAAAAAAGATCAAAGTATCCTTGCTTATATAACTTTGTGATTCTTGTTTCATTGATATGATCAAACCTATAATATATAAGTAAGATTGATTCGGTTTATCTAATTTAGACTTATTGACATTTATATTGAGAACATCATTGTTTAATCTAAGAACAAACCAATCTTTCATATGCCATAAAACATATCATTTAAATAAAATGAACAAACGTTACCTTTAATATTAAATGAAAATCCATAATTCATACTTAAATAAAAAACTGAAATGATATTTTGAGTTATGACAAGAACATAATAACAATCATTGAGTTCTATAATTAAAGTAGAAGTAAAGGTAAAGAATAAGTCTTAATGACATAGGAAACAACACTTGTATTATTTCTAATACACACGAACAAGTCTCATTTCTTTAAGTATCTACTCTTCTTTAATCCCTAAAGTAAAAGTCTTTTTAAACTTCTAATCCTTTAAGCTTGTCAAGTAGACTTTGGAATTCCTCTTCCAACGACCTTTCTTACTATAATGGTGACATGCACCTTTTTTTATTTTTGATGTTGCCAGCAGGCTTAATAGCCTTCTTTCTTTATATCCCCTTTCTTATCAACCTACTTAATTTTCTTCTTCTTCTTGACTGACTTTTTCTTGGCTTTAGATAAAGAAACTAGATTCAGGCTTTTGATTCTTAATAAACTTTTGCAAACATGTTTATCATCAACGAAATTTTTTCTTTGATAATTATTGAGGATTATCGATGAAATATCGATAGAATATGCCTATGAAAAAATTTAGCCATCATTGACGGAATACTGATGGAATTTATTAATGAATTTAATTCTGTTAGTAATCAATAGATAAAATATAACATGATTTATCGTAAAAATTAATAACGAAAATTTTCATCGATAATTATTGTACCAACAGATTGCCGACGAAAAATTTTATTGGTAAAAAAATCACTAAAATCAAACCCCTCCTTCTCTCCTCCTTCCTTTCTCCCTGATCTCCCTCATCAATTCCCCCTACTCCCGATAGTCTTTTGTGTTTTTGGACAGTTGAAGTTGAAGGCTTTGTGTCGTGTGGAAATGGTGACTAAAGCTGTACCGGCTTCCTTTCCGGGTTTGAAGGGCAGGGACTCAAGCTTAGGATTTGCAAAAAGCATGGATTTTGTCAGAATTTGTGATTTGAAGAGAATTAAGTCTGGTAGAACAAGAATCTCCGTGATTAGGAATCAGAATCCCGGTCCGGATATTGCTGAACTTCAGCCTGCATCAGAAGGGAGCCCACTCTTAGGTATAAAGTTTAAATAGTGGAAAAGAAAAGAAAAGAAACTAAATTCGGATTTGCTTGATAATTTCTTGGTGTTGATCTTTAGATAAACTACTAACACAAACTTTGTTAAGAAAAGGGTTTTTTTTTTTCCCTTTAATTTAACTTGAGTTCCGAATCATGATGAGTTTTGGTTCATTGTCCCATGACTTTGAGCCATACCAAGTGCAAGTTAATTTTCTCTGGTTAATTAATTGTTTTAATTTAGTTCCCAGACAAAAGTATTAAGAATCCATACACAAAACCATTAGGAGAAAAACACGGACAGTAATGGTTGGAAATGTGGCTTTTGGTAGTAAGCATCCTATAAGGATTCAAACAATAGCTACAACTGACACTAAGGATGTTGCTGGGACCGTGGAGCAGGTATCAACTTCTCTCATCTACTTGATTCTGTTCAAATAATGGGTTTGGTTTCTCTTACTGCATTGTCTGGTCATAAGGATCGGCAACATATATCTGGTGCATGTTCAAGTTTGTGCAATGTGATTCGTTTGTTTTTGTTCTAAGGTTTCACTAATGTTTCATCTCCTAACTAATGTTATAATAGTATTACTCTTTGGAGGATATACGAGAGCTCTAAAACTTGAGTTGGTAATAACAAATGTTCTAATTTGTATACAATGATGCTATGAATTAGTCTTATATAATTAACTGCTGCTATCTTTCAATAGGTAATGAGAATAGCAGACAAAGAAGCAGTATTGTGCGGATAACCGTTCAAGGGAAGAGAGAGGCTGATGCCTGTTTTGAAATAAAAAACTCTCTGGTACAAACTGTAAGATCCTTATTTATTTCTGATCTTTATTATATATACATATATATTTATTTATTTTCTTACAATTATACTTGTTTATTTTGAATTGTGACAAAGAAATGCATGCAACTGGACCCGAGGGACCAATTCCAACAAGCATATCTCTTTTGAGTAATTTAATTGATCTGCGAGTATAATGCCTCCTTTACTTGTAGTCATTGGCTTTATATTGCACAGCTAATTTTTCATTTTTTTACTGATGGCTTTGTGAATGCTGGACTTGTCATTTATGTAGGAGGATTAGTAATATAAATGGGTCAAATCAGGGTTTTCCTATGGTCAGAAACATGATAGGCATATGTTAAGATCGTATGTTTAGTTCTGACATATCAAACATATTGAAGGTGCCATCTATATATTATCGATTTTGACTAAATGTGATCCAGTTATATTTTCTTAAGGTTTTGAGGAATAGTAACATTTTTGGAGAGATCCCTGTATACATTTGGGTAATGAAGAGTCCAGAAATGTTGTAAGTAAAGCATGTGCATGGTTTTAGGGCAAAAAGTTTCTTTACCTTCTGCTGTTCGCATTCACTATCTTTTTCACAGGGCACTCATAAAGGGGGAATATATTTATTATTATTAGTATTACTTTTATGAACGTAACTGTCCTTTGATTCTACATGGAAAAGTCCATTCTCTTTTTAAGAAACTAAAATCATTACCTTAATAACTTTCAATTAACAACCACCATATATTTTTCACCATCATCTTACTGCAGAGTGCACATTGGTCTAATTGTATACATGTTTTTTCATATTACAAAGTAAAGACTATATCTTATGCAAGTGTTGCGCTGAAAAAGTCATGGTCTTTCTACTTAAATAGAAATTAAGCAAGTACTAGGCTTATAAGTAAGGATATATCAAAGGGCCAAAGGGTGCCTAGGATATAGTCAGCACTTAGAAGACCATGCACTAAAATGTCAGGCACTTTTAGAATTGATAAGCATGTCAAAAACATGTCTGGTTTCTTTGTTTTTTGGTTTTAATTATTGTGTTTGTATATATTTTGAATTGAGGAAGATTGCTTAAGGCTTGTATTGTGAAAGCGAAGTTCATCACTTATTCCCTCTTACTTTCCTTAGAGACAATATTCTAGAGTACAGGTCTCTATTATTTATTTGGTCAAAATCTGCCCCAAGAACCTTTTTGAATAGATTTTGTATTATCACCAAGTTATTACTGGCAATAAGCTCCTATCCTTTTGATTCAAAAAAGCAAGTTACCTACTGATTTGTCTTTCGGAGACTCCTAGTTTGCAAAATCATGTTTGAAAATTTGGGCACTGTCATAAAATTATCACACTCTAATGCAACAGGGATGTCGTTTTCAACAAATTAGTTAGGAAAATTAAGATAAGCATAAGTGCAGATCGTCTAAGATTTGTGTAAGTATTAACTAGAAATTGTGGCTACATTTAGCTCCGTTTTGGACTTTATTGCAGAAAAAGATTGTTTTAAGATTCTGAATAAGCTGTTTGAACTTCTTTATCGCATAAGATAGAAAATATTAATTGGTGTATGTGCACAAATAGGTCACATTCATGGTTTTAGGGATAAGAACAATTGTAGCTTAGATTTAACATGAAACTTATTTTGCGGTCCGAAATCACTTAAAAAACTGACAATGATATGTGAAATTTAAATTTTAAATTAGAGATAATTTGATTCTTTTCTGTTATTCTAATTGATACGACATACTGACCATCTGAAGTGGGTTTTTATTAGCTTTTTAAGTGGCAATATGTTAAGTGGAGACATGCCTGATTATATATTGAAGCAAGGAACTAGCATGTACGTTTCTGTCTGTGATCCTTCTTATCATATTTCCATTTCTTTCCTTTTCTAAGCGCACTGCTCATAACACTTTAAGGGGAAAAAACGAAGAGACTAAGAAAAGATATCTCTAAATAATCAAATAATGTTATGTAAGTTCATTCTCATATTTGCTTTTAAAATTTATACTGGTTGTCAATGCTTGGATGCAGTGATCTTCCATACAATTACTTCACATGGCAAGGCCCTGAGAAACCTGGTTGTCAGGAGAACATGTCAGACTACTCTTATTTTATTCTTTCCTTTATACTTTTATCTTTGATATCATGTGGAGCTAACAATTATTTCATCTTTTGTCCTTAAGAATTCGAACTTAAACTTGTTTCGCAGTTCTTCATCAAGTAACAACTTGTAAGAGTTTCCTTTCACTTTATTTCCCCTTTTTTTCTTATTATTTTTTCTTTTAAGTGTTTGGTGGCTTCATAAAAGGTCTTGTGTTTGTACTGTTCAACCCTTGTGCTAACAGTCTTCTATTCTTAAATTCTATAACAGGAGGGGAGCTTTTCCATGCAAGAAGGATTTCACTTGTCCTCAATGTAAGTTGTCTCCTTTAGTAGTTGGAATACATGAACTTGCTAGTCATTTTAGTCCACTCAACTTTATTACTATATTGGATTGACCGCTTGCAACTTGCATTTTAGGTTTTTAACCCAGATTTTAGTATATTGGATTGACACCAATTACGATGGCTTTGGTACAGTGGCTTTTTTACTTTGTAGGTACCAAGAATGCAAGTCAGACTATAAATTTCGAACATGTATTTATTTTGTATATTTATTTTGTATTTTTATATAATTAGAATTTATAAATAATTTTGTAAAATATTATTATATTTTTTACAAATGAAATGAAATGTTTTATTTATTTGTTTTCTTTTATTTATGTATATTTTAGTATTCATATCATTACTTTAAAAATAATTTTAAAAATATAATAAAATGAAAAATTATAAAATAGTTCTTAAATATGATTGAAAAATAAATATTATTGTTGGAAATAGAAAATATTACCAATGGAATTTTAATTATTACCAACAATTTCTTTTTCAAAAATTTTAATTAATTTTGAAAAAAAATTAGAATAATATACTGACAAAAAATGAGCTTTATTGATAGAATTTTCCATCGATAATTTTCCGTCGATAATTTACTAATGAAATTTTGGTATACCAACGAAATAGTATTATTAACTTGGCTAACACTAATGGAAATTTTCCATCGGTAAATCCGTTGGTAATATTATTATTGACGAAAAATTAATTATTATCGATAGAAATTTCATCAAGAATAGCTTATTTTTTGGTTGTGTTGGCATTATTAAGCATATTCATTAATTGCGGTAATGTTACTTCCATCTGATGTATATTGAAGTTCATTACAAATTGTGAAAAAGCTATTAGGAAAAGATGACAAAATCAAGTCAACACTTGACTCATGATCCATGACAAATCCTAATGTCCAAGTTTCTCAATCAATTGATTATCTTTAGACAATGCAATTTTCAATTCTAAAACATCACTATTTGGAACAATTCCTTAGAGGTCTCAAACCATTCATGTTGCTTTGCAACTCAGAGATCATGCTAGCCACCAAGATACCTACAAAATGATCAGCATGGTCTTTATGGGTTTCATAAACCAGCTACATTGCATTATCAATACTAACATTTGGTTCCAATGAAATTGGCTCATCAAGAACATAAAACATTTTCTCTTGCCTTAGGATAAGCTTCAGATTGTTGTACCAATCATTGAAGTATGCTACGAAGCAGCAAGTTGTTACTCATGTTTTGCAGCCTATAAAATATGAACAAGTTTTAGTAATATTGTTCAATACAATATAGATAAAGTCTAAATCTATATATTGGTTGCTCCCACTATTTTAGTCAAATCAATAGCCTTCACTATCAATTTGAAAAAATTATATTTTTCTAGTGGGCAAAAATCACATTACTTTACCATAATTTTGAGTTTTGTCTCAACAAGCCATGATAAGTAAATTAGGTAGATAACTTACTTATTAATCACATCTCATATGACTCATAGATCAATTGCATGACAACTCTTTGTCAAATCATATCTTATGTGATTCACCCAATCATGGTGTCTAATATTATATGGTCAAGTTTTTTGCATTTAGACAATATAATGTTAGCTAAGTAAGACCCATTAACCATAACATAACCTTATATCGAATAATAATTACTTTGAGTATTGTCTCAACAAGCCCCACTAGTAGAAAGTTTTGTTATTTATGTTAATGGAATGCATCAAGACTTAATATTTTCATAAGGGATTTTTAATTCATCATAGGTCTCATATAGCATGCATAAGAATTCATCATATATCTAACACTTGCAATCTTATCATGCATCTCACAATTATACATGGCATTTATCACATATAAATGTTAGCATGTATAATAACAAATCAACATAGCATTACATGGTATTTATCTCATAACTAGCATGCATACTATAACAGTTATCATGTTTGATTCAAATTCATGATCTTGCACATCTATTCTTTGGATAAATATCAATATCATATATCAATCATCAATTCAACTCAATGTGATGCAAGGCATATACATTTTTAGCTAGTTTGGTTGAATTTGTCTAACTAATATCTTAGGAATATGTTATTTGCAATCATAATTTCCTAAACAATTAAGGAATTATAATTTTATTTGGATTTTAATGTAACATGGTTAACATCACTTTAAATTATTTAGGAATGCCAATCAATTAAAGTCAAGCCAAAATACATGCATTAAGAATTTCCTAGTCTAACTAGGTGTTGTAGTGAAAATAATTTCTTGTTAATTAGAAGTTCCAAACAATTTAGAAAGTCCAATTTAATTTTGATTTTTATATGAAATCTTATTTCTTAAATGCAAATAATTTAGGAATTCAAATTCAACAAGAATTATCATCAAACTAGGACTTGGCAGAAACCTATTCACAATAGGAAACTAAGTTGCAGCTGGAGTAGTATTTATGGCAACTTGGTAGTTTTAGCCACAAGATGCTATATCACCCTTACTAGCCACCATCCAAAAGTTCTAAACTCTTTCACATGCTTTCTTATACCTTTGGTCATGATTCTTTAATCATAAGTAACAATTACTTTGACTTTTATAAAAATAGTTCACTAAACTTGGTGAACAAGAAAGCAAATCTTGAAATATTGGTGAATAAGTTTTTTTAGATTCTCACTATTGATTATCATGTAG